ACCAGGGTGTGGAACACATCAACAAGCCACCATGTGTGGAACACATCAACAAGCCACCAGGGTGTGGAACACATCAACAAGCCACCAGGTGTGGAACACATCAACAAGCCACCAGGGTGTGGAACACATCAACAAGCCACCAGGGTGTGGAGCACATCAAGCCACCAGGGTGTGGAACACATCAACAAGCCACCAGGGTGTGGAGCACATCAAGCCACCAGGGTGTGGAACACATCAACAAGCCACCAGGGTGTGGAACACATCAACAAGCCACCAGGGTGTGGAACACATCAACAAGCCACCAGGGTGTGGAGCACATCAACAAGCCACCAGGGTGTGGAACACATCAACAAGCCACCAGGGTGTGGAGCACATCAACAAGCCACCAGGGTGTGGAACACATCAACAAGCCACCAGGGTGTGGAACACATCAACAAGCCACCAGGGTGTGGAACACATCAACAAGCCACCAGGGTGTGGAACACATCAACAAGCCACCAGGGTGTGGAACACATCAACAAGCCACCAGGGTGTGGAACACATCAACAAGCCACCATGGTGTGGAACACATCAACAAGCCACCAGGGTGTGGAACACATCAACAAGCCACCAGGGTGTGGAACACATCAACAAGCCACCATGTGTGGAACACATCAACAAGCCACCAGGGTGTGGAACACATCAACAAGCCACCAGGGTGTGGAACACATCAACAAGCCACCAGGGTGTGGAACACATCAACAAGCCACCATGTGTGGAGCACATCAAGCCACCAGGGTGTGGAACACATCAACAAGCCACCAGGGTGTGGAGCACATCAAGCCACCAGGGTGTGGAACACATCAACAAGCCACCAGGGTGTGGAATACATCAACAAGCCACCAGGGTGTGGAACACAACAAGCCACCAGGGTGTGGAACACATCAACAAGCCACCATGTGTGGAACACATCAACAAGCCACCAGGGTGTGGAACACATCAACAAGCCACCAGGGTGTGGAACACATCATCAAGCCACCAGGGTGTGGAACACATCAACAAGCCACCATGTGTGGAACACATCAACAAGCCACCAGGGTGTGGAACACATCAACAAGCCACCATGTGTGGAACACATCAACAAGCCACCAGGGTGTGGAACACATCAACAAGCCACCAGGGTGTGGAGCACATCAAGCCACCAGGGTGTGGAACACATCAACAAGCCACCAGGGTGTGGAGCACATCAAGCCACCAGGGTGTGGAACACATCAACAAGCCACCAGGGTGTGGAGCACATCAACAAGCCACCAGGGTGTGGAACACATCAACAAGCCACCAGGGCGTGGAGCACATCAACAAGCCACCAGGGTGTGGAATACGATCGAGATGTTGGAAGACCCAATGAGAGACAACTCCAAGATGAGAATAGTCAGTAAGGATGAGGTTGAGGAGGAAGAAGGGAGAGGGTGAAGGGGAGAAATGAGGTAGAAGTGAGGGGAAGGGCTGGAGAGGCTTTGTGAGGGGATAATGAGGCAATATAACACGCAGGAAAGATGAGGGAACAGAAACGGGAGAGTAGTGACAAGAGGCTTAAGAATGGGGGGACATTTGAACACGTTTTAGGGGTGGATTAGAGAGAAAGGAACTGAAGTTTTGAAGTTTATGTGAGGAAAGTTTGGTGAGAGAAAAGATGGGGTGAAAAGTAGGTGAGGTGTGAGGTGTTGGGGAGTGAGGGAGTGTAGAGGAGGTAGGCTGTACCTCCAAGCCTCTGTTTTTTTTCCGTTGGAATTCTCTGATCTTCTGGCATTTCTGTGTTCGGTGTGATAGTATGACACACCCGTTTGTCTTACTTAAGCCTCTATACTACCTGTTTAACCATGCTGGAACTATATGATATTCCGGTCGTTTATTTCAGTGTCTTGCTCGGTGGGAGGACCAGGTCTCACCCTGCAGGTTGCTCTGCAGCTTTTCTTCCTGTTGCAAGCTATGCATTTATGAAATGATGAGGGTATTTGCATTTATCTGAATTTGGATATATCTATTTGGAATATAATAATGGAGCTCTGTTGTCATGGCAATTGACAAAGATTCACAGGTCATGTGACTTCTTACATGTGGGAGTTGTTGACCAGACCTCATACTAGAAGGTGAAGGGACGACGACGTTTCGGTCCGTCCTGGACCATTTTCAAGTCGATTGTGGGAATCGACTTGACTTAAGAATGGTCCAGGATGGACAGAAACGTCGTCGTCCCTTCACCTTCTAGTGTGTGGTCTGGTCAACACACTTCAGCCACGTTATTGTGACTCATCGTCTAGTGGGAGGTGACCTGTGATGTTATGCATCGATGTTACTTGATTGCTACACGAAGTGTGGACTCAGGGAGCACAGGAGCAGGTGGTTCTTGTGTTGCTTGGTCGTGTTCCTTGGCTGGTCGGCCTCCAGAGTTTCTTGACCTGGCCTCTTGGCCTATTAGTGTGCTGCATATTGTTTAAATTACGGCCTCATCAGCCTGGCAATTAGCGTAATTTATTTGCAGACTATGAGTCACAATAACGTGGTTGAAGATATGGTGACCGGACCACACACCAGAGGATGAGTCACAATAACATGGTTGAAGATATGGTGACCGGACCACACACCAGAGGATGAGGAGACGACGTCTTATACGATGTTCGATGGTACAAAAATGTACCATGAACGATGGTACAAAAGTAGACCAACCCGGAACTCTACTGGTGCCCAACCAGAATTTTTACAGTAGACCCGACCACACACTGGCCAACGGTAAAGGCGTTACACACATTTACACTCCCGTTAGATCAGAAATATATCACAATGGCCTGATATGTCAATAAAAATAATTTTGAGGCAATGGAGTGGGTTGGGCTCTAGTTCAGGGGCTCCACATTCTCCCGGTGAGATTAGTAGAGTTCCGGGTTGGTCGACTTTTGTACCATCTTGGCTGAGATGGTTAAGACAGGCATCTGGGAATCACCAGGTCGCCAGTTCAAGTCACCCCATTGCTTCAAAATTATTTTCATTGAGATATCACACGATCGTGATATCCTTGCGATATGTGCATGAGCATACAGGGTATGTATATGAATGTATGTATGTGTGAGCACCCACAGTATACATTAGTCGCCTGGATGATCTGGAGGCTTCGTGACCCGGCATCAAATGACTCCGTGAACCTGGGAACCTGACGGAGCCTTTCTGATGGACAACGTTGCAGTGATAGAGTTGCAAATGTGCGCAAGAAGCGTATTTGTGGAGGGCAGAGAGGCAGTGTATGAGGCGTGCAGCACGGAGGTCCTCAGACGTGCAGCACGGAGGTCCTCAGACGTGCAGCACGGAGGTCCCCTCCTCACGATCCTCACAGCCTTCCTTGCGGGTTTCGACCCCCCAGCAAACCTGACCTTTCACTCGAGAAGTTTGACAGTAACGCCAGCGAGCCAATAGATCACCTTTCACGGGTCTCCGAGTGGCAAGCACTTACGAACGTGTACATCTTTCCTCAGTCTTTGACGGCTTTGGTTACATTTATTAAACAGTTTACAAACATGAACACTTGCCAATCAACTGTTGTTATTGTTATAAACAGCCTCCTGGTGCTTCGGAGCTCATTAACTGTTTAATAATTGTAAACAAAGCCGTCAAAGATTGAGTAAAGATGGACAGGTTCGTAAGTGCTTGCGTAACTGCTTCGTGAATCTTCCCCCTGGTCGCTGGTGCCAGTCACATCGTTGCTTCATCTGATTGTCTCACACAATCAGATCTTTTCAGAGCAGGAAAAACAACACGTAAAAGATCTAAGAACAATAATGTCTGACGACCCGAAGTTTAGCGAAACAAATACAGCTTCGAACCTCATAACGAAGCAAACAGCTTCGGTCAGGAAAATGATTAGACGTACGAGCCTTCAAATCCGGGGATCCCACCACTAAGTTCCTACTTTTCAAATCACTTGTGTTGTCCCTCTTTGAGTCCTGCTCCGTACTCACTTCCCTCTTCGTGGGCCAGATTCACGAAGCAGTTACACAAACACCTACGAACCTGTACATCTTTTCTCAATCTTTGGCGGCTTTGTTTACAATTATTAAACAAATAATGAGCTGCGAAGCACCAGGAGGCTGTTTATAACAATAACAACAGTTGATTGGCAAGTTTTCATGCTTGTAAACTATTTAATAAATGTAACCAAAGCCGTCAAAGACTGAGGAAAGATCTATACGTTCGTAAGTACTCGCGTAACTGCTTCATGAATCTGGCCCCATAGCAGGAGAGAGAGATCTGATACAAGAGTGAATACAAAGAACGTATACGTCAATACTGACACGATAATACACTGAAATTATTGAGACCGTCTCAAAGCTCTCAAAATGTACTCTCTGGAAATGAGACGAGAGAGAGATATCCCCTAATATACACATAGAAGATACCGAAAGATCAGGACCCGAATTAACACATCAAAAAACAATGTACTGGGACCAAAGATATAGCATGAAATGTAGAATTAACCCAGTGAAGAGTAGAGGTGCCATAAGTTCTACAAATCACTCCCCGAAGATCAAAAGCTGTTCAATATCCCCCCATGGAAACATGAGAAATATTGCCGGTACAATAGTGAACATGTTCAAGAGAACATTAGACAAGTTCCTGGAGGAAGTGACGGATCAACCAGGTTGTAGTGGATATGTGGACGTGCTGGCCACCGTAGACAACAGCCTGTTGGAGCAAGTTGGAGCAAGGCTTCCCCATTGGCCAGGCTTAAACCTCTCAGTGTTGATTCCAAGCTTGTTCAAGACCGGATACCTCTCAGCTTAGAAACCCAACTAACTCAGGGATGGAATCAGTTCAGATCAGGACCGCCAATGGTTTATGGCCGGATACCTCTCAAGCTAGACCCCAGCTGGCCCAGGGCCGGATACCTCTCAAGCTAGATCCCAGCTGTCCCAGGGCCGGATACCTCTCAACTTTGACCCCAGCTGGCTCAGGGCCGGATATATCTCAGCTTAGAGAGATCGATGTTGTGCAACGTTAGCCGTGGTGATGCTTCGTATTCCTGTATTATCCTGCCTCCTCATCCAGGGTGGCCGCAGGGTTGAGGGCCCCTGGGGTGGCCGCAGGGTTGAGGGCCCCTGGGGTGGCCGCAGGGTTGAGGGCACCGGGGTGGCCGCAGGGTTGAGGGCCCTGGGTGGCCCGGGGTTGGGGCCGCCGCAGGGTTGAGGGCCCCGCAGGGTGAGGGCCCCTGGGGTGGCCGTAGGGTTGAGGGCCCTGGGGTGAGGGTTGAGGGCCCTGGGTGGCCGCAGGGTTGAGGGCCCTGGGGTGGCCGCAGGGTTGAGGGCCCCGCCGCAGGGTTGAGGGCCCCTAGGGTGGCCGTAGGGTTGAGGGCCCTGGGGTGGCCGCAGGGTTGAGGGCACCGGGGTGGCCGCAGGGTTGAGGGCCCTGGGTGGCCGCAGGGTTGAGGGCGCAGGGTTGAGGGCCCTGGGTGGCCGCAGGGTTGAGGGCCCTGGGGTGGCCGCAGGGTTGAGGGCCCCGGGGTGGCCGCAGGGTTGAGGGCCCTGGGGTGGCCGCAGGGTTGAGGGCCCCGGGGTGGCCGTAGGGTTGAGGGCCCTGGGGTGGCCGTAGGGTTGAGGGCCCTGGGGTGGCCGCAGGGTTGAGGGCCCTGGGGTGGCCGCAGGGTTGAGGGCCCTGGGGTGGCCGCAGGGTTGAGGGCCCTGGGTGGCCGCAGGGTTGAGGGCCCTGGGGTGGCCGCAGGGTTGAGGGCCCTGGGGTGGCCGCAGCGTTGAGGGCCCCACGTGTCAGAGGAAAGATGTTTATATCGAGATCTGGGTGGCATTTGTTTTTCTATCATTGTGACAGTTGCCAGGTGTGTGTATTTAGACGCAGAGGCACATATATACACTCATATCTCAACATACGAAAACCAGAAAGGTTTTCAAGCGTTATGCGTCCGCATGTGTCCGCATGGAGGCATCTTGGCATACAGTGAACACATGCGTCTCAAGATGCTGATGGCACTGCACATGTATGCAGTGTCATCAGCGTTCTAGGGCATGGCCTCTGTTTACTCCCGTCACGTGTTTGAAGAAGGTAAACAAAAGGGTAAACATGGAAGTCACGTGTTTGATATAAGAGGCGGCAAAATACCACCCCGTGAAAAGGTAAACAAATCAGGTGAAATTTCTTTGGGGTTTGATCTTTCAGGTGCTGCCATCCCGCGGCCGACGGGCGAACTGCTCAGCTGTCGCTAGGGGGCGCCGAGCTGTTCTCTTCCCAGGATACACAACGACCTTTCCAGTAACGTTTTCGTTAAACGTAACATTTTCAACGCCTCGACTCTCAAATCCAACTCAGGTCCAGTCCAACGACAACTCAAGTCCAGGTGAGTCAGATAAGAATAGCAAATTGAGATTTATATTGTGGAAGAGGCACTGAATTGCTCTATGCAAGCGATGTTGATAACTGCGTAGTGCATCCTCGGAAAAAAATTGTGGATGGCTCCCGCCTTTCCCGACTGTGTGGCGCGGCAAGAGTAAAAATGGATTTTCTGGCGAGACGGCCATCATGTCCCCTCCTGACACACCTGCCTTCCTGTTGCCAGGTGTGATATGTTGCCATGTATGACCCGATAGTTCCCCTCCTCCCACATGCGTCACATCTGACACACTTCTACATTCCTCGACAAGTTAATGTTCATATTTATTCCTTAAACTGTTGCACACAAACATCTTTAGATCTATCGCGCTAATAATTGACCTTTTCAGAGTCCTCTACTGACCTTTAACCTCTCCTCCATTCCATCCCTCTTAGCCTAACACTTAAATGGTTCAGCCTCTTGGGGGTCGAACCAGGCAGTGCCGGGTACCTCATCCTGTGTTTCATAAATAACCACGAAACAACCTGTATTTAGTAAAGGAAAACAAATCTAGTTGACAGAAAACCCAATAATTAACGAACAAATCCACAAGAGCCGTGACGAGGGTTCGAATCTGCGTCCGAGAGGATCCCAGACGCTGCCTTAGTCAACCCCGTAATTGCTTATGTCTCATTTAACTGAGCACGAAGCAGAGTTGTGAAGTTACTCGCTTTAATAAATATGTCAATAGTCTTTTTCAGCACTAATGACTCAAGAAGCGACTACAAGGTTATCATGCACTAGCATGATTAATTATCATCCACTATCATGATTATAATCCACTACCATGATTATAATCCACTACCATGATTATAATCCACTACCATGATTAATTATCATCCACTATCATGATTAATTATAATCCATTACCATGATTATAATCCACTCCCATGATTAATTATCATCCAATTCCATGATTAATTATCATCCACTACCATGATTATTTATCATAAAACTGCCATGATTATCATCCACTACCATGATTATCATCCACTACCATGATTTTCATCCACTACCATGAATATCATCCACTGCCATGATTATCATCCACTACCATGATTATCATCCACTGCCATGATTATCATCCACTACCATGATTATCATCCACTACCATGATTATCATCCACTGTCATGATTATCATCCACTACCATGATTATCATCCACTGCCATGATTATCATCCAATACCATGATTAATTATCATCCACTACCATGATTATTTATCATAAAACTGCCATGATTATCATCCACTACCATGATTATCATCCACTACCATGATTATCATCCACTACCATAATTATCATCCACTACCATAATTATCATCCACTACCATGATTAAGGGATTCAACTTTCAATATTTCTGTAATATAGGTTAATGGGCGACTATTAAACCAAGACTAAGCCTATGACAACAATTTTGAGTTCTGTACATGACTTTCCTCCTGCGAACAGTTTTATGGAGAGTTTCACTGACCACCGGACTCTACCATCACGCGTTGGGAGAGTCCTCTATTTCAGTATCTATACTTGAAGATACTTATAGATATCTCGTAGACAAGCTTCCTCAGGCACTAAATTTGTCCCAGTTATCTTGTATCATCGTTTTGTGACATCTGATGGGCAGGAAAGCTACTAAAGTACTATACAGATGAGTACACTCATTTTGGTAGTCACTTATATTTTAATTTCTCGAGTGGAGGCACATGTGAACAGGCAGGTATATATGTACTTATGGGCTTTCTGTCAGTTGTGTCAGTGAGGGTGAAAGCAAAGTGAAAGGACGACGACGTTTCGGTCCGTCCTGGACCATTCTCAAGTCGAATGTCATTCACTCGACTTAAGAATGGTCCAGGACGGACCGAAACGTCGTCGTCGTCCTCTTCACTTTCTAGTGTGTGGTCTGGTCAATATATTTCAGCCACGTTATTGTGACTCCTCGTTTGCGCAAGACGATGCTTTCCTTACAAGTGGTTGAGGTCCTGGATAGATATCTGAGTGCAATACTTATCTTGCAGAGAGTGCAATTATTAATTATTACCTCTAGTAATTTGCTGGGTTAAGGTATATCCAGTATTGTTGTCTCTGGAGAGTTAAGGTAAGTCCCTTCGTGGTGAGTAACTTGTTGATGTTTAACTCCAGCAAAAGTGTAACCCAATGATTCTAGGACAGGAACCCGGGAATCTGGGGCCAGATTCACGAAGCAGTTATGCAAGTACTTACGAACGTGTACATCTTTTCTCAATCTTTCCTGGCGGCTTTGGTTACATTTATTAAACAGTTTACAAGCATGAAAACTTGCCAATCAACTGTTGTTATTGTTATAAACAGCCTCCTGGTGCTTCGGAGCTCATTAACTGTTTAATAATTGTAAACAAAGCCGCCAAAGATTGAGAAAAGATGTACAGGTTCGTAAGTGCTTGCGTAAGTGCTGTCGTGAATCTGGCTCCTGGTTTGTATCTGGATGGGGTTCTGGGAGTTCTTCAACTCCCCTTAGCTCGGCCGGGGGCCATGCTTGACTTATGAGAGCTTGGTCCAACAGGCTGTTGCTTTGAGCAGCCTGCAGACCCACATACCCACCACAGCCCGGTTGGTCCGGCACTCCTTGAAGAAAACTGTCCAATCTTTTCTTGAATTAGACAGTTTGTTCCGGCAATATTTCTTATACATGCTAGGAGGATATTGAATAACCATGAGCCTCTGATGTCCATGCAGTGATCTGATCCTTAAACCACAGGAATTTTAACAAATTTATGCTTTTGCTGTTGATTTACTCTTAAAAAGTCTGTAAATGCGAAGAACACTATAAACTGTCTGTGTTCTCCAGGTTCGTATTCCCACGGTATTCATCTCTCTTTGATCTTCACAAAAATGTTTCCACACATTGGTTACAATATCTGGGATCCGGGGGTTCGGACCTGCCTAGACACTACAAAAGAAAGGCAGGTTAGTTGAGTTTCGTCAAATGTTACAAAAATAGTTTAGGGCATAAAATGTTGTGTTTAAAGTCTTCAAGAATGAGAGAAAGTCTAAAAGAAGGATTATAGGAAGGATTATACGAGTGGGATTAAGTGATCTGACACACACGCAAGGCTTCTGGCACACTAGTCACAGCCTCTCTCCAAGCAACAGAAACATGTTCCACAGATTCACTGGGACCACAGACACGCGACCACACACACACTCTCGAAGATCCACGGAAGTCTGTTTGACAGCCTCGCTGCAGCAGCTACAGGTACCACAGACTCTCTGGGGTCCCAGCCAGAGGTGCCACAGACCCACACAGACCACAGAGAGAGCCGGACACCAAGGAAACACTACAATGGGACACGGAGTGGCTTGGCCAGAAGATGAGACAGCCACTTTAAGGTCAGCAGTCTGACACTCTTCCCTCAAGAGCTGCTGAGAGAGAGAGAGAGAGAGAGAGAGAGAGAGAGAGAGAGAGAGAGAGAGAGAGAGAGAGAGAGAGAGAGAGAGAGAGAGAGAGAGAGAGAGAGAGAGAGTAATATATATAATGTCAGGTATTTAATAATATACCCTTCAATAATCATTGGAGTTTTCACTAATTTAGGTTCTACTTTCCACTAGGGTTAGGCCACTTACCCTAGTGGCCTCGAGGAGGACAGGAAGCCCGCGGCTTGTCGAATATCCCCCCCATAAAGCAGCATGTGTATAGAGGAGCACATAGTGGTATGTAGTAGTATGAGGCAGTATGAGGCAGTGTCAATATGTGGTCTAGCACTCTCTTCCTTCACCCTCATGTTCTCTATCACCTCCCCCCCTCACACTACCTGGACGGGTCTCTCTCTCTCTCTCTCTCTCTCTCTCTCTCTCTCTCTCTCTCTCTCTCTCTCTCTCTCTCTCTCTCTCTCTCTCTCTCTCTCTCTCTCTCTCTCTCTCTTTCTCATCTGACAAATAGTTTGATGTGAATTCTGAATTATATTCACAATTGAACAAGCTAAGGGCTGTTAATTGCTCCATCACGTGACTTGTAGCCTAATTCTACCTGTGTGACGCCGTCCAAGTGGTTGGGCATCATTCCTAACTCCCTCCCCCCCGTCCTATACCAAATCTGATCTCTTCCCAGTGCTATATAGTCATAGTGGCTTGGCACATTTCCCTGATAATTCTCTCCCTCGTGTTAAAAAAAAAAAAAAAAAAAAAAAAAAAAAAAAAAAAAAAAAAAAAAAAAAAAAAAAAAAAAAAAAAAATAAATACCTGTGTGACGTCACCAGGTTACCCCCCCCCCTGTTTATGACGTCATCAGGTATCACCTGAGTGACGTCATTAGTTACCACACCTCTGTGACGTCATCAGTTATCACCTGTGTGACGTCATTAGTTACCGCCTCTCTGTGACGTCATCAGGTATAATAGAGCTGTTATAGGTGTACCTGGAGGTACTCACCTGCATGTGCAAGTTGGGTCAAGACTCAGCTCCTGGTTCAGCTTGTCGAACATTTTGTGCATTTGATTTCTCCCACATCTTTGTCACGTCTTGTGTATGTCATATGTATCTCATGTGTTTCATGTGTCTCATATGTGTGTCATATGTTCCTTATATGTGCCTCATGTGTGTCTCTACTTCTGGTGTATTGTGTGTCTGCTATTCTTATCAATAGACTTGTTTGACAACTTTCTCAATGTCTCTAAAGATATTATGTGTGACGAAATACGTTATTTCCTCGTAGCTCAGTCCTCTCAGCTCAGGAGCCGGTCTTGTATATCTTTCAACTATATCAGTGGGGGATTAATGCTGGGGGCTGCACACTAAAGATGGTGCCTCACCTAGGTTGAATAAAGGACCCAAGAATGGTCTTTGTAAGCGAAAATAACTCCTTACGAGACGAGGAGGCATGGCAGGAAGTGCAGAGGTGGAATAGGTACGATGAGAGAGAACTCTGTCCACTTCAAGGCTCAAGACTCTTCAAAAATGTAGGCGAGGAGTCACAATAACGTGGCTGAAGAATGTTGACCAGACCACCCACTAGTAAGTGAAGGGACGAGGACGTTTCGGTCCGTCCTGGACCATTCTCAAGTCGAACTTCAATAATAGGCATAAGAGGACCTCTCACCTGTTTGAGAGCTTGATGCGTGCCTCTAGATACATTTGCAAAGGTAAGCAGGTGTCTGGAAATCCCCAGAACGTGCGTTCGAGGTATTCAATTACCTCAAAAGGATTTTCAAGATATGCAGTGATGTGATATCTTTTGTAGAAACTAGTGTAAACTTTTGCTGGTACGTGGGAGGGATTTACTCTTGATTTGTTAATCCCCTATTTTGTAGAGTATTTTCCCCTTCTTCTTCGTTAGTTTCACAGCTCATTGTAACTGGTTCAGTGTAAACATTTAGTTTTTAATCAGTATTTGTGAATAAATTATTTCTTTTCATTATCAGTGCTCTCATGATTTGTATTATATTATCATTCTCGAATATTGCAATAATATAACATGACATTTTAATAATACTTTTGACATTTGATCGTGAATTGACAGTCACTGTCACAATATTTATTCTTCACGATGGTTTGTATTTAGTTGGCATCAATACATTCGCTAGTAGTGTAGACTGGTGTATGATTTACATGACAAGTTTATAATGAATGATACGATTCAACGTGATGAATTATAACTTGTCATCCTCGACGCTCATCATTTCATCGGAAATAATTGTCATTATTATATGATTCATTATTATTTTGACCAACACTGCGTTAGTCAATTTCTATCTAGAACATTTCGAATTTACAATGAATTTATAGTGAAGTTACAATAAAGTTACAATGAATTTACAATGAATTTACAATGAAGTTACAATGAATTTATAATGAATTTACAATGAATTTACAATGAACTTACAATGAATTTACAATGAAGTTACAATGAAGTTACAATGAATTTACAATGAATTTACAATGAATTTACAATGAATTTACAATGAATTTACAGTGTGACAACTCCATAATGTATGTATTTTTCTGGTTAGGGTCAGAAGCAGGTCTGGGACGTAGTTGGATTTGTTACGAATGGGTTTTAGTGAACATTTTTGACCAGGTCTGCGACTGTGTTCTTGAACAACGTAATATTTAAAAGCACTCAGAGCGACATAGCCAATTCCTCATTAACTTAATGGATGCTACGAAGCAATTAAACACTAGCAAATGCCTTATAGAAAACGTACATATCTTTAGTTATTAATACCAGTACGTTGAAGTTTATAGATGTTTATGTGGTGTTCGCTGCGGCTTGGAGAAGCATAACCTGAGATTGAAGTTGGGGTCGTCCAAGGTGTGGACGACCCCAGAAGTCGTTCCTGGGGTTCAGGATCCGTAATCCTTGACTATATCCATGTCTTAATCCGGCTCTTAAGAACATTTCACAGACTAAAGCAGCAGTTCATAGAGTTTTGTTCTTAAGCTTAGATTCACAGCCGAATTCTGTTACCTGATTCGCGATCGATTTGAGGCCCAGAAACATGACCCACAGTAGACGAGCTGTGGGAGCAGAGGGCTACCAGCCACATTAGACCAGAGGTGGGAGCACAGTGCCAGCACCCACAGTAGACGAGCTGTGGGAGCAGAGTGCCACCACCCACAGTAGACGAGCTGTGGGAGCAGAGTGCCACCACCCACAGTAGACGAGCTGTGGGAGCAGAGTGCCACCACCCACAGTAGACGAGCTGTGGGAGCACAGTGCCAGCACCCACAGTAGACGAGCTGTGGGAACAGAGTGCCACCACCCACAGTAGACGAGCTGTGGGAGCAGAGTGCCACCACCCACAGTAGACGAGCTGTGGGAGCAGAGTGCCACCACCCACAGTAGACGAGCTGTGGGAGCAGAGTGCCACCACCCACAGTAGACGAGCTGTGGGAGCACAGTGCCAGTTCCCACTCCACCTGTCTCCCAGGGCAAGATTACGGCCCCCATGCGAGGCGACCAGGCGTGTGATGGGACTGATCCGTGACCAACATCGCTGGTAACTGTGAACCTTCCCTCTCATTGCCCCTCACAGTGACGGCACACGCACTGTATATATGACGTCGTCGACGTTGTTCCTTCGTCGTCGTCGTCAGGGTTGGGTTTCAGCTCCTTGTCTCTGGTCTAGCGAGTCTAGTGAGACCTTATACTGCCAGGATTCACAGACCAGTTTCTTCACTGTTGTGGTATTTAATTCTCCAGTGAACAGAAATATTATCTTCAGTCCCTGCACGCTGCTTCGACTCCATTCTCAGCTTCTGACACAGAAACTGGACGCCTGTGTCATGGTAATGGGCTGTTGTCTGTTGTCTGTTGAGACAAGTTGGTCTGTGGGAATACATGAGCTTCTTGTATCAACTGTGATGGTTGTAATTGTTGTTGAAGTGGTTGTTATTGAAGCTTTGGAGCCTAATTCGCTTGACAGGTAGTTAGCATTAGAGACAATAGACTTTACAGGTGTCAACAATAGAGATTAACAAGCTTGACAGCTGTCAACATTTAGAGACTGGAAATACCTTAACAGGTGTCATCATTATAGTGACAAACGTGACAGGTGTATTGGAAATATCTGTGATTGACAGCCTTTCTAAACCCATTACAGATCAGCTGGGAGGAGGATCATGTGACAAGGGAACAGCCAAGGACACGATCACATGAATGGCCAATCTCAGAGGTGAAATCTATCATAGCCACGCCCTGGCCATCTGTCTTAGATCTAAATCTAAATCTAAGATCTAAATCTAAATCTAAGATCTAAATCTAAATCTTAGATCTAAATCTAAATCTTAGATCTAAATCTAAATCTTAGATCTAAATCTAAATCTTAGATCTAAATCTAAATCTTAGATCTAAATCTAAATCTTAGATCTAAATCTAAATCTTAGATCTAAATCTAAATCTTAGATCTAAATCTAAATCTTAGATCTAAATCTATATCTTAGATCTAAATCTAAATCTTAGATCTAAATCTAAATCTTAGATCTAAATCTATATCTTAGATCTAAATCTATATCTTAGATCTAAATCTAAATCTTAGATCTAAATCTAAATCTTAGATCTAAATCTATATCTTAGATCTAAATCTAAATCTTAGATCTAAATCTAAATCTTAGATCTAAATCTATATCTTAGATCTAAATCTATATCTTAGATCTAAATCTATATCTTAGATCTTCAATCTACCTGGCCACGCCTTAGAGGGGGCACTAAGGTAAGGTATTTATGAGTTTAACTTTATATTACTTGTAAGGAATGTGAGAACAGAGGGAAGGAATGGTGCCCAACCGTTTGGAGCATTCTGTAGTGTCTGTAGTGTCCTGCGATGTGTTGGACACTACAGACGGATGGAACTGGGGGTGCTAAACATTAACGTTAATGTCAGTGTAGAGGTGTGGGGTTACTGACAGCTGAGTGGACAGCGCTTCGGATTCGTAGTCCTGAGGTTCCGGGTTCGATCCCCGGTGGAGGCGGAAACAAATGGGCAGAGTTTCTTTCACCTAGATGTCTCTGTTCACCTAGCAGTAAATTGGTACCTGGGAGTTAGACAGCTGCTACGGGCTGCTTTCTGGAGGTAACAAAAATGAAGCCTGGTCGAGGACCGGGCCGCAGGGACACTAAGCCTCGAAATCATCTCAAGATAACCTCAAAATAGTCCTTGAAAATATGCCTGAAAAGTTTAATAATGAAATATGTCGTGTGAGATCCGTAGAGTTAATGAACATCTTCACCGACCCAAAACAAAAAATATTTACCTGAATTTACCTTACCATGAATTTAAATAACATAATGGTTAATATCCTATGATATCACTGATCCTATGATATCACTGATACTATGATATCACTGATACTATGATATCACTGATACTATGGTATCACTGATCCTATGATATCACTGATCCTATGATATCACTGATACTATGATATCACTGATACTATGATATCACTGATACTATGGTATCACTGATCCTATGATATCACTGATCCTATGATATCACTGATACTATGATATCACTGATACTATGATATCACTGATACTATGGTATCACGGCAAGATATAAATTGGGGGTTTGTTTTCAAGCTGTGTTGACAACTTATTCATCTAATTTTGTTAGGAGATATGATGCATAATTGTTTGGTCTCCTATGAGTACCTTATACATGAAAGGGTGGCCACACTACACATAGGGTGGCCACACTACACATAGGGTGGCCACACTATACATAGGCTGGCCACACTATACACAGGGTGGCCACACTATACATAGGGTGGCCACACTACACATAGGGTGGCCACACTACACATAGGGTGGCCACACTACACATAGGGTGGCCACACTACACATAGGGTGGCCACACTACACATAGGGTGGCCACACTATACATAGGGTGGCCACACTATACATAGGGTGGCCACACTATACATAGGGTGGCCACACTACACATAGGGTGGCCACACTACACATAGGGTGGCCACACTACACATA